AGAATCAGTTGAAAAAAGGTGACGCGTTGGGAGTTGCCCGAGTTGCGGGAATTCAAGCAGCAAAACGTACCCCGTCGTTGATCCCACTATGCCATAATATCTTCCTAAGCGATATCCAGTTGAGCTTTCGGCTGCTCGAGGCAATCTTTTGAATTGAAAATTTTATTATTATTTTATTTATTTATTATTTATTATTATTTATTTATTATTTATTTATTTATTTACAATTTTTGCAATCTTTTGGGTAATTTTTCCACAATTTTACCATTTACAATCCGTTAGAATTCGTTAAAATTTGCCCATTTTACACCAAAATTTTTGCAGGTTTGCAAATTTTTACAGTTTTTTTACAAGTTACCCATCTTCGTGGGTAAGTTGACGATGACTTATGGTGTTTCAGGAAAGGAATGAAGTGAAAATCCGTGCGATGGTTCGAACGAAGGCAGAGACCGGTGTTGAAATGGAGGCGCTGACAGCAGTGGGCGTTGCTGCGTTGACATTGTACGATATGTGTAAGGCGATCACTCATAAAATGGAAATTTCTGATGTTAGACTGGTGGGTAAACATGGTGGGAAGCGGGATTTCGGGCAGACGGAACTCTGAAATGGGAAGTTTCCGGGTAAACTGATCCAATTCCCACGTCTAGATTGCTCACAACTTACCCGGATTACATGAAAAGTACGATAGAAAAGTGGATTTTGAGCAGGATTTTGGGCAGATTTGTCACAATTCCCAATGTGGCTTCCCAATGGGCCTCCCGTATGGGCATCTTACCAGTTGCTTGGGTAACTTTTGCATCTCTAAATGACGCTTTGAAATATGAAAAATGCAAAAAAAGGCAAGTCATGTTCTTCATCGTGTAAAATTTTATTCTATTACACTGAATTGTTTGATGTTCTCATCAGAGTATAAATGTATTGTGTGCTGATGAGAAATTTATTGATTTTTATAAAAATATTATTAAATATAAACTTTATTATTTTATTACTAATTAATATTTTGCAATGAATTAATATTAAATATGATTTTATTAAAATATTTTCATATTATTAAATAAAAATATATTTAATTTTTATATTACTAAATGAAAAATATGAAATTTTTTAAAAATTTTATAAGATTTTATAAAATTTTACGAAAATTTATGAAAATATAACGTTGTTGACGTGAGATTCTCACCTATAAAGTAATCTACTCTCCAATTCAAGTACTACTAAACAGTATGGCAGTATCTTTTAGAGTGGTACTAGCCTTAAATTAGTGGTAATTAGTGGTACTTTAAAATTAGTAGTACTATCTTTACAGTAACAGTATGGCAGTATTTTATACAGTAATATGATGTAATAGTGATTACTGATAACGAGCTGATACTATACCTTTACTTAATTACCTTTACTTTAAAATTAGTAGTACTATCTTTACAGTAACAGTATGGCAGTATTT